GTATGTGGAAAATAATGTGTTTTTTGAACCTTAAACCGCATAAACACATTGCATTACACCAAATACACAAAATAATGTTCTTTTTAGTAACGTCATATGACCCCTTTAATCTACTCAAAATGGGTCAATGGGTCCACTAACAATGTGATTTGAACTAGTCAGCTGAATATTATAAGAAGTGGGGAAACTTTCTCCTAAAATAAAGAGTGTGTACTAGTGTGGTAAAAATACCAAAATATCTCTTTTTAGATGTTTTTGAATAAGCTCGCATGTGGTTTGATATTGCAGATGGATTTCACAGCACTTATGTGTCTTTGAATGGAACTCATCGTAGTGACCATACAAAGTCATCTATCTGGATGTCATCTATCTGGAGAACCAGTCCAGAATAATATGCTTTTATGGAACCCAAGATCTCATTTTTTTCTGTTAAATGTGGAAAATCCATGTAAGAGTCCTACCTTCCTTCCATTTTGAGTGTAGCGCTGAGAAGCGATTGAAACATTTTTCTGCAGTTGAGGTCTGCACAGAAGTTGATGAGTCATAAATGTGAGCCCACAGAGTGTGGACACGGGATTATTTTTAGACTTTCATTAGAATCAGTATTTCAAATGGTAAAATATTTCATTTTTTAAGTGAAACTTTGCAGACTATGTATTCTCTCAACCAAATTCATAAACTTCTCACATACACTGAATCACTTTAAATAATACACTAGAGAGAGAAAAAAAAACAGCATTTAAATGTAAGTCTTTAGATCAAAAGCTTTAAGATTGCAAGAAACACAAATTCCTGTGTTTTGGTAGTGTATGTCCTTAAAGGAACTTCCCTTGTACTCAATTTAGTCTTAATTTAAGGTTATTATATTTAAAACAGAGATTTATGCTTTTAGGGTAAATGCTTATTTAAGATAAGAATGTGCCCTAAAAGACACCATTTGGAATTTTTACAATTCTAGAATTTTGGATTTGTTCCAAAACCTAGTAAGCTGCCCACCTAGGCAACATTTCTAGGCTTTACAGGTATTTAATTTATTATTACTTATAATAATAATAATAATGATTATTATTACTAATAATGATTTACACACACAGAAAGTAGTACAAGGTAGCTTATTAGTTTTGGAACAGAGCTATTATGTAGCCACTTCAATTTTTCTCTCAAGTCAGGTCAGGTTTCACTATATTTCTGTGAATATTTTGTTAAATGTAATCTCCACAACAACGACAGCAAAGTGTTTGCCTTCTATGATTTAGTTTTTGAATTCCATTCATTTGAATCTCACTCTGGAGTCTTTCCGTCTCTCTGTCTCTTTCGGGCCGTTTAAAGGAATGCAGTTATTTGTGTCTCGTGTTCTCTCTTGAGTCAGTAGAGCTGACAGTCAGTCTGGCACACACACGCACACGCACACGCACACGCACACGCACACACACACACACACACACACACACAC